TAGGCGGCCAAAACAAGGCCCAGCCCAACTAAAGATTATAGAAATGTCTTTAATTTCAAAACCTACCTCTAAAATGCGCTGGAAGGGGTCGAAGTCCTCTTGGAGGGGGCGGATCACCCATAAAGAGGCGGATCGCCCAACATTCGCTGTGCAGAGCGCTTGCTCGACTAGCGGTCGTTGCGGGACCGCCGCGCTGTATGAGGTCGATTCCATAAGAACCCAATTGAAGCGCTTCAATTTCGATTGCTGGCAAATAGTTATGTATTTGCAAGCATGCATGGCTATTTGCCAGCAGTCAACTGGAGCGCATGTACTACGGGCAGGTTCGGACAACTCGTCCAACACACATCTCTCCCTAAACGGCCGGGGGCGGCGAGCACAGCCACTTTTCATCACTTTTCTATCTCCATTGATCAACTTCTCACCTGCAACGTCATTATACGTGGTCCTTACCCGCGAATTCGTTCCTGGATTGTTGCTTTAAATTTGCCACCTCCAGACTAGAGCCCATTCCAACACACAGTCTGAATTCCATTCCAACAATCCATTCAAACCGACCGTACTAGTGCCAGGTATTTTATTGAACTCTCTAGGTATGATACATACTCAAGAGAAATTTTTCTTTTCTGTACTCAACTTAGTTTTCTACTCTTAAACACTCTTTCCGTCTCCCTGACGCGCCGCCTCCTTGTCAAGCGACTACAGTCGCACATTCAAATTCTACAACGACGCCACGATGAACCTATGCCGGTCGGACTCGCCATCTGTCCAAGACGCCAGGACAACTTCTAATAATAGAAAAGAATAATAGATACCTACCCTAAAATTACTGAATTGCAAGACAACGATTTTCTGTTTTCGCTTCATGTTCCTCTTGTGTACTTATTTCTCGCTGGTAACGAGTGGCTCATTAAAACACCTGTACACTACCGCGGAACTAAAACAACCTTCATTTAAGGACTGGACATGAAACCAATCATTGAGTTTCCCGATTAATTGTTGTTGAAGTCGAATAAGTCCTCTTTCCCATGGTTCGGTCACTTTTAGTAGCGGCAACTTCGTGACTAGAGAAATTTCACTCGGATACACTTTTGTCAGAAATATTGAAGAAAATGTAGAGCACTCTCACAGTCGCAATACTCATAAGATGTATCGCGACTGAGAAGTGACCTTTTGATTGGGGTTCAGCTGCCTTTCCTCTGCAGAGTTACCACGCAAGTTTTTCGGCTCGAACTTCACCAAGTCGCGACAGGTAGACAGCTCAAACTTGGGTAATTAAACGTTTATCATGTATATAAAGGTAATAAAAGTATTGCACTAAATACAGGCAAGTTTCGAAGCATGAGAGAAGCAAATGAACGAGGTTAGATGATGAGCGGCCGGCTCCCGCAAGCTGAATTGTAGAATGCGGCAGATTGTTTATGTTAGCGAGGCGAGGCGGAGCCGATCGTTCCTACAGATAAAGAAAGAAGCTGCTACATCGATGGCACAAAGAAGCATTGATCGTGCAAGTTTGAATGCTCCTTTGATGAGTCATCAATGAGAACTGAATTCAAACTGAACGAGAATATAATAACGATTTGAATTCGTTAAAAGATAAATTTGCTAAAAGAATCTATGAAAGAAGAAGAAACTCCGAGTATTTTAAAGGGAGTCCACATGCTGTTTAGGCGTGCCTACGGTTTTGATGTGCACTTGGTAGAAGTGGGGAAAGCTGTTTCCGAAACATTCCATTGGATAACAGCAAAGCATTCAAAAGGCAGCTTATCCGCGCAAATTCTTCAAAGTGCGGTTTCCGCCACGTAAATTCCATAGACGCGCTCAATCAGACTCACGATGGTATTTGATTCAATGATAAGATTTTCCGCATTGTCTAGCTACGTGTTCCATTTTTCTTCAACTTTTTTCAGCTGTGATGGTTGTGGCACATCAGCGCTTCCCACTCAGTAAGCTCGTTTTACAGCACTTTTCGGTATCCACCGGCTTGGGTGCCTCAATACAATGCCTTGAAGCATGCCAGGACCTCCACAAGTACGGCTTCATTCATCGTGACTTGAAACCAGCGAATTATGCTTGTGGATTGGGCGAGAAAAAGCGCGTGGTGAGTTATCCTTCATTCCCCTCCTGTCAAAAGCGCACACCGTGATCGAATTTCATGTTTATTAGTGCTTGAATGAAAAACCAAAAGAATCCACGAAAAACATTGGAGTCAATGGTCACTTTTTCTGAGGTACGACGGAGACGGGTGGTGTGGAGAGAAGAGAGAAGGAGAGGGATTACGAGAGAAAGCATGCTGTACGAGAGGGCGCATGCACGGCCGTTACATGGTGCGCGATAGGGCAAGCAACAAAAGCCAAGAAGGTCCGCTCAGTGAGATTGCCTTAGCGTTTATCGAGCACCTTTAAGCCGTAAAAATGTCAGATCTGTGACCCTCGTGAATAGTTCTATATTATCCACTTAAAGGACAATGACTCAATCGCAGGGTGTGCCTATGAAAAGATGTTTAATTAGCCTTTTACAGGTGTATATTTTGGACTTCGGGATCGCTCGTCGGATACTTAATGACAAAAACGAACTGAAAACGCCACGAGTATCCGTGCGATTCAAGGTTTGGCGGAATTCTTGCGATGGCAGAAGCGGAGGCAGTTAACATTTTTCAGGGTACTATTCCGTTCGCTTCCATTGCTTGCCATAAAGGTATTGAAATGGGACCAAAGGATGACTGCGAGTCCTGGTTCTACTTAATGTTAGATCTCACGGTTCCTGGAGGTCGGTCCTAATCACTTCATTTCATTATCGTATTTGATCTCCGTCATTTGCACCAGCTCATTTTTGAGAGAATATGTTTTATGTAGGTTTAATTTGGAAGCGAATTGCCGACAAAAATGAAGTACTCAAAGTGAAGGAAGAATGTAGAACTACGAAAAAGGTTCTGCTACAACAGAGAGAACTGGTTCATCTTCAAGTAAAGTTGCACTAGTGCTGTTTAGGATCAAATGCTTGGTTCTCTGAAATGCAAAGACGAACTTGGGCGAGTTCTAGAGTATATTGACAAACTGCAGTATCATGACCATGTAGACTATACTTATATTTATAAGATGCTCGAAGAGGTGCGAGTTTAAAAGAGCTTAAATATGTTATGCTTACAAAACTCACTTTTTTGTAGGGAGCAATTCAAGCGGGTGGAAATGTGAACAACCCATATGACTGGGAGAGCGATCCCGCATGAAGGTGGCTGCTTGACAAGCAAGATAGTAAAAGAAATTCTCGATCACATTTAGCTGATATCATTAATAGATAGCATTCCAGTCGTCTTTTTTATCATTTTTAATCGCGTATGATGTGTTGAATGAGGAACTTGAGGAAGTGCCATGGAATAAAACAACTTCTCAACTTTTTCAGTCATTTGAGCCTAAGATTTGCTGGTTCTCAAGCCCTTTTTCACCCAGGCTCTGTTGTGGATACTTAAGAGAAGTTATCGCGAACAATTTCAATTTAATGGACAACACTGATGGGATTCGATTTTGTGTTCAGATCTACCTGCGATAATGCACACGGCAACCAAGCATTCTAATGTATGTAATTCGATAAGTATGTCCATTCGTGCGCGCGCGTGTGTTTGTCACGAAATTCGTAGCGTGCGTACCAGCAGTCAAGATCAACCGTCACGTTGGACCACGTCAGTTTCGAGAATTTCACGACCCCCCCCCACTCTAGAGGGCCTCGATGCGGCCCCCCTCCCACCCTCTCCTGCCAGGGAGCGATTCTTTAGCATCATTCTGAGACCAGTTCGAATAACGATCTCGTTAGCCATCTAGCTCCAAGTTGCGTCGAGCGGTTATTTATCGACGTGAACCCGCAATTTTCAACTCACCCAAACGCAGCTACCAGTGATCAATCTCGTTTCATTGAATCCTTCATCCTTCCTGACTGTAACACTGCGGTAACTCGCTTACCGGGAACATACGACCCTTTTCCATCCCCTATACGCACCCACCCGTCGGTGGACTTTGTCATCGACGGTTTACCCTGCCAGCACGCTGCTCCCTTTTCTAGGGGTATACAGGGGGGGGGCCAAAAAAAAGACATTTTGCCTCCACTTCCAGATGGGATTTAAGCACATTTTACTCAACTCAGACCGAACGGTTCCAACTTATTATTAAAGAGTGCATTCCATTCTATAAGAAAATCTTCATAGTGGCCACGTACGTGGACGGCATCAGAAGAATTAGCCCTGGAAACATGGTGCACTGGTCGATCTCAATGGGGTCTTCGAAGGATCGTGTACCATAACGACCCTTACTGGAAAGCTAGTTCCGAGGGGATTTGCACAGTGGTAGCTAATGCCTCTAGAAAACTATCCAACATTAAATCGATTCACGAAATTGCGTAAGAGCTTCAGGCTGAAGCTCTTACGGTAGACCTCCCTGCTGACGACGGTGAAAGTTTTAGATTTCTGAAGACGGTGAGGGCAGTGAAGGAGAGCCTGCGTACACTAATAGAGGAACACTTAGGGAATACTCTGCTGAGGAACTCCCGTCAACGACAGCAATCTCTGCGAAGAAAAAAGAGCCGAAGTCCGACATAGGCAAAATGTCTTTTTTTTTGGCCCCCCTGTAGTATAGGTGGTGGGACGAGAACATATTTGGTGGGGGCAGAAAGCGATAACTGCTGATAAGACCTCATAAAGATGTTAGAACGCGGAAGTCACCAAATGCATGGCGTCAGCTGTGTTGTGCAGATTTCAAAATTTTTACTACCCCCTTCCTTGCGAAGGGTGTCTGCACGACCCTCTGCATTAGCTACTGTGTCTTTTTACATATTTCAGGCCCATCGTCGGTGTGTGGGTCATCACGATTTGGTGGGCAGTGGTAGGTCCGCGCGCTCTTGTCTCGCTCAGAGGACGGGAATCGAGGCCATGAAATTTCACTCATTGAATAAAGTTTCCAATTTTTGCGTAAACCTAGCCTGGGCATTGTAGTATTCTCAGAGATTTCTACTTTCAGAAAACAATCAAGTTTTTTAAAACTGGCGAATCTCCTTTTTCGTAAACCGAATTTGCAACATTAACGTTACGATAGAAGCCTTTTCATTCAAAAGGTTGTACCTTTCTTCAAAAGCCGTCTCACGAGTTGGGACACAAAAAGTTAGAAACTTAAACTTCGTAAAAAGTTTTCGACCTTATGCAAGTGTTCAATTCTTCAAAAAATCGTCCCGTTGTTCCGTTTTTTGTGCACACGCGAGTTTTCGACATTCAAACATTCATAACTTCCTTCATTGTCAACTTTTTGCAGATGTTCAAAGGCTAATTAGAAACTAGAAGATTAGCGCTTTCAAAAAATACTCCTCCACAGATCACTCCAAAAATAGTCCCGTTGTTCCTTCAGGGGTTTGTGGTCCGCTTTTTGTTCACATGCGGATTTTCATTAGTCCAAGGTTCATAACTTCCGCATTATTAATTTTTTGCAAAGGTAGTTAGAAACTAGAAGATTGACGCTTTTGAAAAATATCAAGATTTTTTTAAATGACCACTCTTTCGAAAAATTGTCCCGTAATTCTTTTTTTCTCTCAAAGGCTTTTCAGGCCGTTCTCTTAGGCTGCTTTCATACTTCGCGCCGGTGCGGTCGGTGCGTCGGTGCCGTCGGTGCCGACGGCGCCGACCGCACCGACAGTGTGAAGAGCGTCAATACGCGCTCTGGCGCATGACGCGTACGTTGGGCGCAGATGGCGCGCTCCGATCGATAATCTTGGTTTTGGTGTATTTCTTGTCTTTTCGATGTTTTTTTT